TTGGCTAGACATACCTTATGTCTCTCATTATTGTATTTTGAATCCATTGAGCCACAATTATGACCAATGAGACTCGGACTTTTAGACAATCTGACAAGACCTCATAATGTCAATTCATACATAATTTCATCAAAGCTTCATGTATACTTATTTGAGGTGGTTGAGTTTGAATTTTGGGACCATATTTGCATTTTTAGAAAATGCTTTATAACATTATTCTTTATAACCTTATCTCCCACTCAAGCTCAACTTCCTCAAATGAACTTTAAATTCATTATTAACAAAAAAATATAGAATTTTGAATGAGTAGTTACCCACAATCTTTAGTCCAATTTACTTATAGACATGAAAGTCTTACCTTAGTTGGACAACCCCAAAGTGTAAGCTGAAAATCCATAAGGGATGTGTGTTTTACTCAATTCACAAACTCTATTAATAATGAATCACATTGCTTCTCACATTATTGACAAAGAGGAGTAGTCAACCATATTTCTTAACAAAATTGAGTTAGATTCATGTCTTATACCACTTAAAAAATTTGATTGCTTTATGTGAGTGACAAAACAAGAAAACTTACTCACGAAATACTTAAGTGGTACAAAACTAAACTAGCTAACTCATATTGAGAAGCAAACTTTAGAATGTGGATTAATGAAGGATACATTGTACATTAAGTCTTTTCTCGTTCAAATTTTCTTTAATTACATAACAAAAGAAACACCTTATGCACAATTGATGCGCCTTTAGATTGAATACGAGATTTAGACATATCACAATGTACTTCCTTAGGTTCCATTTAACTTAATTGAAACAATAATCAAAAGATATATTATTTCATTAAATATCCTTAGTGGAACTTCCTACATTATCCATCAACCTTATGTCCCAATAACAACCAAATATTGTTCTATAAGCATATAAAACTTATAGAAAAATATATAATGACAAATGACTTAAGGTAAGCAGATGAAAAAATTTTGAACAATACCAAAATACTCACACATAAATTTATGTCATACATAAATATGGGTAAATAGACCAAATAGGGACACGTGGCAAGACACCATAGTGCAACATTAATCTCGTCTATGGACAGAAAATTAACTGCAGTGGTAATCTTGTTGTAATGATCAAGCATTGATAATAAGTTCTGTCAAACAAAAGTCTATCTTTGGACTGACTAATGTTCACATGAACGATCTAAATAATTATCACTTACTTATCATCACATGTGTGTTGTTATTTTGCCAAATTGTGTCTACCTATGGGCTGATCACAAAACGCATAAATAATTCCACACGGCATCTATGTAATTTCAATAAAGTCGCTCTCCACAATCAGAGGTTGCTATGGCAACATGATGTTTTGATTGACTAAATTGAAAATTACTAGACCAATTGAGTAAAAGCCATATGAATTTCTCTTATCACCATATGTGCGTTATTATTCGGTCAACCTGCGTCTACCTATGGGCCGAGCACAGATCACATGAACAACTTCACACAACATTAAAATAATTTCAATAAAGTCATTCTCTATGCACAGAGGTTGCTATGACAACATGATACTTTGATTGACTAAATTGAAAATCACAACATCATAGAAAAGTGATCGAGAATTTTTCTATTACTCAATTGAACAACGTTAAATCGTCGCCCCAGGAAAACTTCGGATATAAAGTTCATGAACTAAAATAAATTTAATTCCAACTTTATTTAGATTGAAAGCCCATATAACCAATTAGGCTTAAAATCTAATTTCAATAAGCTTAAATCAAAATAATCTTTCTTTTGAATTTACGGCCCACTATTACCAAATTGGGCTAAAATTCAATCCATTTACATCCAAAAATGAGTTCAAGCATATATAAACTCAACATGACATTATTTTGGAATTTAAGCATAAACCAAATTAAACACACAAGTCATGAAAAAGCTTAATATGTTACTCATAATTGACTCAAAAAATCCTTCTGGATTATATATGAAGATTTTCAATATAAATCCTATCCTTATGGGACAATTATCCCATCAATCCGGAAACACATTATGAGTCTACCACAAGGTCAAACTCAAACTCCAGACCTTATAAATATTTTGAGATACCAAGAAAAAGATAATTTCAAAATCTAACTTTTAATTTGAGTTAAAATATGAAACTTTATATGAACTTGTGTCCATTAACATAATTTGAGTTTAAAGTCTATAAAACCAAATTAGACTTTAAATCCAATTTTATATAGCCAAAGCCTAGTATGTCCAAATCAGGCTTAGCTTTATCGCATTGCAAATTACGTTCACAAAACATAGAACCAAGTTCAAATATTTAGATTTTAAGCTAGAAACAAATTTTGTTAATATGAGCCGAATTAGGCGAAAACCAAATGTCAACCTAAGCTCAAATACACTCACGATTTAGCCTCAAATCAAATATAACAAAATAAGACAAAATAAAGATCTTCTTTAGTGAAAGACCATAAAACTTAATCCCTTGTGTTGATTTAAAACCTTATAAACAACCATAATAAATTTTAAATCAACCTTTAGATGGACAACTCCATAGATCCCGAAAACATACAAGTAACAATATCAATGTTTACGGTCACAAAATTCACTTAGAATTAAAATAATAAACTCAAATAAGAGTAACTTTATCTCAAGACATCATAACTCCATTAATATTTTACCTTTGGACAAAATATTAACTTGTAATTGACATCGAATGCAGTAATCAAATATTAACAATAAGAACATATCAAACAATAAATCTTCCTTTGGGATGACTTATTGTTCACATGTATAACCAAATTCATCAAAATAAACTGATGGATTCAAGATTACCAAACAATAAATAAATTGATCTCATATCCATTCTCACCAAGCCTGATGAATTTCAATTGGTTGACGGATTCACAACACAAAATTGAACCATGAAACCAAAATTACGTAACTCATATTCTGAGCAAATAAATCATGGTCCTTAAACATAAATCCACAATTCTAAATCAAATTTGAGAAATTGCACACAACTCAATTGATAATTCTCAAATATAACCTCAAACATTGATTGCTGAATCCATTCACATGAATTAAACCAAACAAAATGATGTATTCATATTTTAATAACAAATCCCAAAACCGTAAGTGGGGGGCTGAATGGATTCACAAATAAATCATGGATTAATCCCCTTAATTCCATTGAATTCAATTATAAAGCCGAATCAATTTTGCATACATATGCGACAACTTCAAAACAATACCAAAGCACTGAATCCATTCACAGCGAATGCAGAAAAACGAATTTCACATATGGATCATAAATAAATTGATTCCCTAAATTTCAATATGAGGTGGCTCTGATACCACTTGTTGGAATTAGCCTTATGCGAAACCCATCGCTATATCCCAAGAGCTTTCATATTAAATAATCGAGAATCAAACTAGATAGCGGAAGCGTACCTTAGGTAGATTTATAAATTCGATCACCATGGAACACGACTTGGATCACGAATACATCATCGATCACAAATGGTGTTGGTTTTATGGCCTTCCTCAACTAAATCGCTTTATTCCTCATATGGGACCGTCATTCTCAATTCCGATGGGGAGAAGAGAGAACTATGTTTGATTTAGTGTATTGGGGACCATAACCAAGAGGGTCTATATATACTAATAGGGTAGGCCACCCATTATCACCTTACCCTAGTAATATTAGGTATCCACTCATTAAGTCCATATCAATTTATGTAGCCCATGAACTCTACTTAATTTAGATCACTTAATTGAGTCCAATAATTAATTGAATAGCTAATATAATATAATTGTATATAATATGTTGCCCATACTTATATTATACATAGGAAATAAAATATTTCCTAACAATCTCCCACTTGGGCTACATATTATTTCCGAAACAATTATATTAATTCCTTAATTGCGCAACTTTATGCTATTCATAATCAGACTACCTTAAACAATCTGGTCCATCTCATATACTAGCAATGAAACTACCGCGGCTTTCACCACATTACAAATCGTGGATAAACCCCGGAAGTCACCATACTAGTACACTCAATGACATAGATCATATATGGTGAGTGGCATGGAAATTACATGCAATGTGATCTTTAACATGTCTATTTCCAACTGGTCCAACTTTAAATCCTTATTGAGATCAATCCATAAATGTAACATGAAGTCACAAAAATAGAAAATTTTAGTGATTCATAACGAATCAGAACCATCAACTTTATTCTGCAGAAAACTGAAGTGATAACTTCAAGAAAACATTGAACACCAACTCCCACTGAACCAAGGCACTATCCATAGTAACACTTATATGAGTGATATACTCATAAAATACTTCAAGTGTTTATACCTTAGCATACCTTATAATGGAACTATGAATTTGCTAGCATAAATCCATCCTTATGTATCCAATAATAATTCATCAACATGAATTTTATCCTTAGCAACAAGAAACTTTATGAACAATTTTTG